TCAGAAAACTGCATTTCTTTTCTGACCATTATTATTCATTTCATTTTATGGTTATTACTGAAAGTCATCTTTGACCTAAAGGAGGGGGTGTTAACAATCCCATTTGGGGGTCAAATGCTCCAGGTACTCTTGGCTTTTGGTGGGAGACCGGCCTCAGCTCGCCTCATTGGGGAACTGAAGGATGCATAGTTCCAGAGTTGGCCCCATCTGGAGACCAGGGTCTTCTGGTTCTAAACCCTAATAGTCAGTCATTGCCCTCACGGAGGCAGCTCTCTGAAGAGGGGGCAGCTTGAAGTTACCAACCAGGAACGGTGAGCTGGTGGGGAAGGGGCCGGAGTAGGCAGCAGAAGCCTGTGCCTGCTTTCCTTTGTAGACTAATTTGTCTCCCGCTTGGGAAAGCAGAGAGAAAACTGCATTGAGTCATACGTAAAAATCATGGACTTGGGGCTCAAGGACCTTCAAACAACAAGCCCCTCATTTTACAGCTGAGGAACCTGACATTGCAAAAGATGAAGTGGGTTGCCCAGCCTTATCTAGGCAGTTCCGAGAGGGCTAAGGCTTGTACCCAAGCCTTCTGCCCTCCAAACGCTTCTCTCTGAATATCCTTGCTCTGCCTCACCTAAGGAAGAAAAAGACTTCTTCAGACAACCTGAGAAATTCACAGGGGAGAGGAGCTTCCTGCACGGTGTCCGCCCAGGAGTTTGCAGGTGACAGCTGCCGGGTGAAGGCCTGGTGTGAGAGGATGAGGAGTTTGCAGGTGACAGCTGCCGGGTGAAGGCCTGGTGTGAGAGGACGAGGAGTTTGCAGGTGACAGCTGCCAGGTGAAGGCCTGGTGTGAGAGGACGAGGAGTTTGCAGGTGACAGCTGCTGCCGGGAGAAGGCCTGGTGTGAGAGAACGAGGAGTTTGTAGGTGACAGCTGCAGGGTGAAGGCCTGGTGTGAGAGGACGAGGAATTTGCAGGTGACAGCTGCTGCCGGGTGAAGGCCTGGTGTGCAAGGATGAGGAGTTTGCAGGTGACAGTGCAGGGTGAAGGCCTGGTGTGAGAGGACGAGGAGCTTGCAGGTGACAGTGCAGGGTGAAGGCCTGGTGTGAGAGGACGAGGAGTTTGCAGGTGACAGTGCAGGGTGATGGCCTGGTGTGAGAGCACGAGGAGCTTGCAGGTGACAGTGCAGGGTGAAGGCCTGGTGTGAGAAGATGAGGAGTTTGCAGGTGACAGTGCAGGGTGAAGGCCTGGTGTGAGAAGATGAGGAGTTTGCAGGTGACAATGCAGGGTGAAGGCCTGGTGTGAGAAGATGAGGAGTTTGCAGGTGACAGTGCAGGGTGAAGGCCTGGTGTGAGAGGACGAGGAGTTTGCAGGTGACAGTGCAGGGTGATGGCCTGGTGTGAGAGCACGAGGAGCTGGCAGGTGACAGTGCAGGGTGAAGGCCTGGTGTGAGAGGACGAGGAGTTTGCAGGTGACAGTGCAGGGTGAAGGCCTTGTACATGAGGTTGCTTTCCATCCCTGGGCTTTTGCAAAGTGAGACAACATTGAAGTGGAAATGTTTACCACCTTCTTTTCTTTGGTTTGGACCATGCTCACCCCTCCCGCTATCTGCATTTTTGCTGCTCAGAAGCTAATGGTAAAAGGAGTGACCTCGAGTCCCCTGGCCATGGTCTTGCCACCAGTGTGCTCGGTGGAACGACAAAAGGCGGCCCTTCCTCGCCTGTAGAACGAGGCTGTCCTCTCCTGCTCTTAGGTAGCAGTTTCCAAAGGAAAGTCAGGGCGTTTGGTTAGTATCCCACCTGGACTATTAATGTCTTAATAATTTTAATGCACTTGTCTTTAACATAATTACTTTAGCTATGCACATGGATGTGTTTTTCTAAACCACAATAAATAGATTTATAGCTATTAAATTTAAAAAAATTTATCCATGTTCCACCTACAGTCACCTTATATTTGTAACCATGAAATTGAAAGAGTGAGACTCCATTGAAATCAAGCAAGAAACAACTTTTTCTCCCTTGAACTGTAGTTATTCTTTCCTGCCACTTGATATAAGTTCGGGCAGGTCCTGTAACTCACAAATAATGGAAAACCCTTCTGTGACTTTTTGCTCCAAGAGCAATCCAACTGCAGTAGTTAAAGTGTCCACTCCAGTTTCATGGAACTACAATTCTGTTTAATAGTGGAAACAGCATAATTTCAAGGTCAGCTCCCCCATCCACTTCTACTGCTTGCCTGCGGAGCCAGTGTGGAGGTGGGACCCAAGCCTGCAGATCGTCATCCCCCGCTCGCTGATGTCTTCCCATCCCTCAGACCAGCTGTTTACAGTCCTTCCACAGACACAGGGAAGAGGGTGGGCCAAGACGTGGGAAGGCTCTTGTAGGAACAGAATTGGCATCATCTAGGACTAGTGCTTTCCGGGTGGGTGGCCAACACCAAGCCTTTCCTCTGGTGGGACTGCTGTGGGTCTTTAGGTCCCCCTCCTCCATGGACCACTCACCTGCAGGTGGCATTATCACAGGCAGTGCCACCTCAGGCTGGCGGCCTGGCTCCCTCTGCAGGCTGGTCCCCTCAGCCACACTCTGGTGGTCCTCCCAGCAGGACCCAGTTGGGCCTTGTACAGCCCACACCTGCACCAAGGAAACAAGCGCCCATTCCTTTGAGGAACTCTGGGAGCTCTGCCTACCTGGAAACAGGCCCTGCTTCCGGCTCCTTCCACAGGGCATTTTCCCACCCCAGTCTCCAGCCATAGGTATTTCAAGTCAGGGAGGCAGGTGAAGCTCCCCAAGTGATCCTGGAGGCCCTTCTTACTGGTTAGGTGGATAAGGAAAACCAGCCAGCAGCTCCCCGAGGATGGCCTTCCTCCTCCCTTCTGGCTGCTCACTTTGGAGGGTACTGGGTACCCCTTGTTTGCTTGCTTCCTCTGGTGCCTCACGTTAATTGTTGGGAGGTGCCCATGTTCATGCCCATTCTGCCCTCCACCGTATGACCATGATGCTCTGCTGAGTCGGGCCCAGCCTCAGAGCTCCCAGTCCTCCCCTGGAGACCCACGGGATGGCCCTGAGGAGTGACCTTTGCCTTTAGATGGCATCTGATTGGCAGGCACTGGCCAAAGCCCATCGGGATATCACCTCCACTTTTTCAGGAATGGATGAGACAGACTAGACTCACAGGTCACGTCCATTCAATCCACAATTCACTGACCCCAGGGACTGTATAAAAAATGCAACTTCAGTTTTGCCAAGGCAGCTTGTAGGTTCTCTAACCTTCCATTGTAACACCTTTCTGTTTGTCACTGAATAGTCTGTTTTCTGTGATTACTACCCAGATGGGCCTGGTATCAAAGCCCCCGAAGGGGCTGGTGGCACATTTGGGCTGCAGTGGCCTCTTGTCAATCCTCAGTCTGCCTTCTGAGCACAATAGCAGAGCTGATGGGCTTTGTCGCTGCAGGCCCGCGGCGGCCAGAGCAGGGGAAGCGGCATCTTTCTCCATAACTGGCTGCATTTGCATTGGGGGTGGGCAGGGTGGGGGAGAAAAGCCAGCTTTACAAGTTGAAGACCTTCTGCCCTTCTCAAAGCAGAAAAGAGGTCATGTCAAATGGCATCTTGTCTTCACAGACCGGCTGATGGGTCCCCAGGGTCCTCTTGGAGGCATTCGTTAAATAGCAGAAAGCTCTGCTGCTAAGGCAGAGAAAAGCAGAACCTGGAAGTGCTGGGGAGACGGAGATGCACTCACTCACCAGCCAGTTCACAGGGGAGATCTGGAGGGAGCGAGGGCACTTGTGTAACTTGGTCGGGGACTCATTTCTAACTTGTCCCATTTTATGGTTTGGGGACAACGTTGCCACTGTATATTTTGAAGGAAGTATATAGGAAAGCATCTTTTACATATAATTTTTCCCAATTCTAGCCCAGCATGTATAAAAGGTGTCTAATATAACTAAGAAGTTATATTATTCCTGATTTATAAATCCATCAAGTTACAAAATAGGGCTGATTGCTCTTTCTGCATTGCCCACTTAGTCTCAGAAGTCTCCCAGTTTCTTTCTTTAGGCCAGAGGCCATGATTCTCACCTAACCTGATAATAAAGAATAATAAGCAACATGCTTGTGCATATTATTCCCTTTCACTTGCTTCCCATTCATTTTTTGTTCTCCTCCTAAAGCTCAAAGGTGGGTAGGTTCTAGAACCACTCATTCATACCACACTTAAGCAGCCTGTCCACCCACTGCCACAGACAAGTTGTCATTATTAAGTGTGGAGCTCAGTCCAGCAAAAGGAAGCAGATTCCCTTATTTTTATTGCCCATGGACCCATTGGAGACAAAAGAGTGAGGTTCTCATATTATTCCCACTGCAGTTATTGAGCCCTGGAGAGAGAAGGGTTTGGGGAGGAGGGGTTAGAAGTGGACAGGTTTCGAGGATGTTAGCTTCTTGGAGTCTTCTAAATCCCTAGGAGCCTCAATGGGACACAACAAAGACCCTCCCCCCCCCCACACACACACACACACCTTTACCTTGGGAGGTTGCTTGGAAATAAAAGAGCCAATGACTGCAAAGACTTGAAATTATTCCATAATGTAAATGGTTCCTGCGTCACTGCTGAAGTTCACAGATTTGCATTTAGAACTGTATTTCTCATCTCGGAATAGAAGACTTTCCCATCCTTTCTGAAGTGTATGCAGCCTCCAGGAGCAGACAGATGAGGATGGTTCCCTTTTTACTCCCTTTCCCCCTCCCTCCCTCCCTTCCTGAAATCTCTCCACTCCTAAGAGAGAACCTTTGACTTGGTGACGATGTTAAAAGGAAGTTGAATCGACGATGAATATAATATAATATTATAATATTAATTAGGAGTTTACGTGAGCAAATATCAATTCCGGTCAGTTGGCACCAAACTGGAAATGGTTAGGAACCAGGAATAGACTTATAGAAAAGTGCAGAAGCAAAGAAAGTATTATCAGCATTGAGGTTCTTGAGTTCCCCAAGATAGAAATCAAGAGGAAACCCCAGAGAAATATCCAGACGGATTTTATTAAGCTTGTGTTCGAGTACAAGAGAGGCAGCACCGAGGAAAGGAAGGGCCTCTGAACCGGCTCCAGGGCCTACTTTGCTTGGCTGTTTTACAAGCTGGGGACAAAGTGGGCTTGCGTCTAAAGGCAGGCTGTTTTTAAAAGGTGGGCTTGCGGAATTTTCCATTTCAGAGTCAGGTGACTTCCTTTTCCAGCTGTGTTGCCTGGTAACTACTTCTCACCTCTGTGTGGGCAAGATGGCGGTGTGCTTACTATCACCAGCCCAGGAGGGTCCAATGCCATCAAACCTTGATAACTACGTGTTGGGGTCAGTAGTTTTCAACATCTGCAAGGAAGCAGGCAGTTAGCAGGGAGATAAAATCAGCCACCTCAGTGTTTTGAGTAGGGAGTGGAAGGGTGGTGACGTCTTGCAGCCAGCTTATCTGGCTTTCTTTCTGGCCACCTGGTCTTCACTGGTTTCCTGGCCACTTGGAGTTTTTCCATTCCCAGGCCCAGGTCCCTCTGCTGTCTCATAAGGAGATTATTTGACTGACTATAGCTTAAAGACCAGTTGGCTCTTTTGATTTTGTAGCTTGAGGCATGCACACAGCAGAGGACATTAGCAGCTAACTTCACCTTGGCCAAGTCGGGGAATGCCAACTTATAAAGGAAGGAAGAAAGAAGGGCATACATGGTGGAGACAGTGGCTGGATAGCGCAGGAGAGGTTTGGGAGTGGGGAATAAGTGGAGGTAGAGGAGAAGAGGGAATAGAGTTGACCCTTGAACAACACAGGTTTGAACTGTAGGTGTCCACTTACATGTGAACTTTATTCAATAAAAACCTGTACTTTTTTTTTTTTAATCCTCACCCAAAGATATATTTTACTGATTTTAGAGAGAGGGGGAGAAAGAGAAACATCAGTGTGTGGAGAAACATCGATCCATTGCTCCCCGTACACACCCCATTGGGTCACAACATGAGGAACTATTGTGATACCATATGTGATCTATTACAAATACCATAAATACTATATGTAAAACCCACAGCCTAGGCCTGTGCCCTGACCGGGAATCAAACCGGCAGCCTTTCGGTGCATAGGACAACTCTCCAACCAACTGAGCCACACTAGCCAGGGCACCTGTACTATTTTTGATCCGTACTTGGGAGTCATGGGTGGAGAGGGCTGACTGTGCATTGTCCTGCACCATTCTATAGGGAACTTGTGCATCCTTGGGTTTTGGTGTCTGCGTGGGTCCTGGAACCAGTCCCCCACAGATACCTAGGGACAGCTAAGCTTCTGGGGAGTCAAAAGTGATACGCAGATTTTTCCTGCGCAGGGAGTGGGCACCCCTAACCTCTGCATTGTTCAGGGGTCACCTGTAGTAGGAGATAAAGCTGGAGAGCTTCTAGAAGCCCAGGTCATGCAGGACATGCACAGCTGCATCCACGGTCTTTCAGTGCCATGAGGAGCCTTTGAAAACTTCCTAGGGGGGACCTGAATCTTCAGTTTGGGGAACTAGTGGCACTGAGGAGGTTGGGGTGAAGGGGTGAGAACCCAGAATCAGTGTCTTAGCCCAGGGCCTTTAGGAAGCAGGCCCCGGGGCAAAGAGTCAAACATGACTGGTTATTAGGGCAGGAGGTGCGAGGCCAGGCAGTAAGGCTGAAGGAAAAGGGGAGGGACCAGGAGAAGTGCAAGATAA